AGAGGTGATACTGCTTCTGGAACATCGCGGCTATATGGAAAATGCTGTCCTATGGAATTTGGGTTTATAATAATAAGGACTCATCACAGAAGAATGTTAATAGAAGATGGAAATGGCTGTAACAGAAAACAAGTGATATCAGAGCTCAACAGACTTGCACTGTCATTATAACCCCCTGCAATTTTGCCCATTGCAATAGCAGAGGTGACAAGCTCATTGTCTCTGCTCTCTCAGTTGTTGAGTGCAGAGCAATAAATGCCTTTTTTTTTAATTTAATGTCCTTATGTCAGAGAAGAAAAGCAATTCTTGAGTTCAGTGTCAGCCTGAGATGAGGAGACTTTCTCAGGTACAAGAAAAAGAAGTCAGAGCAGCTCCTAGCTGAATCCTGAGGGTGCCAGGCCACATTTCCCTCTGTGAAAAACACAGTGGGAAGAATAGGATTGACTAAAACCAGCAATAGGATTAGACACAATCACAAATCAATTTGTAAGCTATTGCATGGCTTTTTTCTCCCAACAATAAAATACCTTGTGGTGTCTTCTGGACTCCCATCAAAGCTGTAAAGAGATGGAATATACTTGTAGAGCTGGACAATAATTTATTGCTAGTCTCAGGGCTATGCTAAAGAGAGTAGACAGAGGTTGGCACCAGCTAATTTGGTAGCTGAATAGTCTGTAGCTTTTTAGCTTTTTATATCCTAATATTCTTGAAAATTCAGTATTAGTGATCTGACATATTTCTCAACTGTCTGCTATTGCATAAAAAAAAACATGCACAAAAGCAAACAAACCCCTTCGACCCACATCAATTATTCTCATACTTTTGAAGCCTACAACACAGTTAGCTTCTCTGTTGTCCCGTTGCCATAGCTGAGGCTTAACAAGCACATTAATCAAATGAAATACAGCCTTGAATTTCTCCAGGAGGGATCTGCTGCTGACTCTGACAACTATTTATATTAAAAAAACCAACAGTGTTGATGTCCTGCAGCAAGAGTTGCTACATACATTCAGAAAAAAAACAAAAGTCGTGTACAAACAGCTATGGTTAATTGTTCAATAGCACAACTTCCTTGGTTCAATCATTGCAGTGTCACAGCGCTGAGCCTTCTGACCTCATTTCAACCAATTCTTTAAAGAAATCTTCATTCTTTCAAACTCTTAACCCCAATATTTAGGAGTGCTGTCACTTTCTGCCGCATTTCCTGTGAGGCAATCTTGCAGTGCTCATTACTTCTCTTTACAAACTTCTCCATCTCATCAGACAGATTTGCCAATGCCTCCTCATCTTGCACAACACAGAAGTTATATTCTGCATTTCTCCAGTGATATTGCAAATGAACTTTCAGAGAAGATGTTCTTTTGAATGAGCCACAGGAGCCATGCTGAGTTTATTTTAGTCGGGTTTATATTAGGTTTCATTTTTGCTGATCCCTTCATTTTTCATCCTCTCATCTGTCTCTTCCAATTTTCCCTGTTGGGGAGGGTTGTGTTTGGAGAGTTTCTGAGCCAGAATGCTGTGCATGCAGATTGTTCAGCTCCTTGCCTTCCCTTCAGGCAGTCTCACCTGTGCATGCCTGTGCCCACACCTTCTCATACATTAACATTGCAAACTGCCCTAAATATCTCTGAGATTAGCTTCCTTTTAAGCACGAGGTGTACCAAAAAGCAGAGAGCTTGCGTTATGCTGCCTAACGAGTTGACAACTGGATATGCTTTTTTAAGGCCTTCAGGATTTGAATTTAAACTTAGAGGGACTGCTAGGCCTGATGGTTAGAAAGGGGATTGTAAACTTGATGTATCCTGAAGTGGGCAATACAGGTGTGAAAAGTCTGGAGTGCTAAAATGGGTTTGGTGTCTTCAGTTCCTGGAACAAAGAACTGAAATGTGGATCTAGTGGATTTTATAGACCAGTGCTGAGGAAATAGAAAATAAGAACAAAGCACACAAGCCCTTTTCTGAAATGCTGGGAATACAGTGCGAGATCTGAACTACAGATACCTGGTGCTGCTGTTTTGATTTCTTCCGATAATTCATGAATCAGAGATAGGCTCTGATGATACCTAAACTTGTACAAGTGCAGCATGAAGTACGGATCATGGTGGATCTGCATTAAGGCTGATGGGCAACTTATAATCCAGTGATTTCATTACAGCTAGCAGTACTGTTTGGCAAATCTAGCTGTAAAATAAGCCTGCTGTCTTTTAATGGATTATTTTTAAACAGGCTTCTTTCAAAATTTCATTTATCAAATAGCTTAAATACATGATGGGTCTCAGCCAATAATTTGCTTGCAAGTTATTCACCATAACTACTACTTTGAGCTCTTGCCATTCATTAATGTGCAGTTTTCCCGTGGAACTGGCTGTCCAAATCTCACGGTGGCTTTGCTTTCCCCTGGTTGGACGCTTTCCAATCCCACAGAAAGCTTTGTAGGGGCTCCAAAATGTCTGATGATGGCTGTGAGATGGCTTCTGGCAACAATATCAATGCAAATGAATATTTGAATGTGCTCATGACATATTCCAATCTTGTGATCAAAAACGTGCCTATAGAAATCTTCAAGGGAAAAAAAAATCTTGGGATACTGTCAAGAATACATTTGCCTTTACTTATGGCAGCAAATGTTCACATGTGTTTTATTTCTTTCATAGGATTCAGCTCCTTCTTAGCTTCAGATTGATAGGAAAACAAAACAAAACAAACACAACAGTCTTGACACTGGAAAAAGTTTATTATTATAGAAGTGACTTCCTGACATCAGGGGATGGCATATTTCCATCCGAGGAGAATGGCTTTATGATTCTTTCATAGGATCATAGAATCATGGGATTGTTTCAGCTGGAAGAGACCCTAAAGGCCATTTGCCCCAACCCCCTGCAGTGCACAGGGACACCCACAGCTCCATCAGGTGTTCAGAGCCTCTCCAGCCTGACCTGGGTGTCTGCAGGGATGGGGCATCACCACCTCTCTGGGTAACCTGTGCCAGTGCCTCACTACCCTTAGTGTAGAAGTCTTCTTTGGGATTTGTTTGGCAGTGTACTCACTCCTAGTTCATTTAAGAAAATAAAATCGTAGATGGAATAATGTACTGCCACTTACATTTAGAAAGCAAACATAGGACAAGACCAGAATGCTAAAATGCACTGAGAGCACAGGTGTGTTAGAGGAAAGGCTGCGCTTGCTGCTGAGCATAATTTAGTTCATTTGACATTCTTCACTACGAGTCTGCATTTGAAACACCTGTATCAAACCCACGGCACTATTTATGAGACACAGCACTTAGTCAGTGCATTTCAGTTCCTGTTGTGCATCTAGGAGATGCAAACAGGAGAAGGAGCAAACTGTACAACCCTACCTGATGTCATGGAACGAGGCAGTACGTGATTGCACTGATGATATAGACTCATAGAATGGCTCTCAGTATCTAAAGAGGGGCTGTAAGAAAGAAAGGAACAGACTCTTTGGCAAAGGATCTGTTGTGATGGGGCAAAAGGAAACGGTTTCAGACTAAAAGGGGGAGATTTAGACTGGATGGAAGAAGTTTTTTTTACAGTGAGGCACTGCACAGAGTGCCCAGGGAGGTGGTGCAGACACCCAAGGTCAGGGAATGGGGCTCTGATGGAGCTGTGGGTGTCCCTGCTCAGTGCAGGATTGGACCTGATGGCCTTTAGCGTCCCTTCCAACTCCTACGATCCCATGGTTCTGCGATTCTACAAAACCTGGGCTTGTTGGACCTAGCAGCACAGCGCTGAGAGGGTTTCATGGCACCAATGACTGCTCAGGGCACTCCCCATGTTTTCCTGGAGCTTTTAGCAAACACAGCCTTTGTTTGCATTTTTCTGTGGTATGTGTTTACTGTTCATTTGCGCTGCACATGCTGTGAGAAATTAAGCCATTATGATGGTATATTTTTTTTTTCCTTTCTCCCGCTTTTGTTCTTTTCACAACCCCCTTCAAAAGCCCTCGCAGTTCCTTTCATTATTCGACGTTAACGGGACAAAAAGAAATAAATACTCGAAAGAAGAGAAAAGCAGCCTCGCCATTTTGCTTCGTGCTGTGGTAACTGAACACTGCTCTGCAAGGTCAAATAAAGAAAAAAAACCACCCCAAAACCTGCCAGAAAACCCCAGCCCTCCAACCACAGGTTGGTCCCATTGCGGAGCGGCTCTCAGCCCGCAGAGCGCAGCGGCCTCTCCGTAAATCTCCGAGTGTTTCATATAGCTCGCCTGTCAGGCGGCCATTAACTTTTATAACCTTGATATTTCAAGCGAAACAATGAACGCGAATTCTTTCTCAGTGTTCCTAATGGGTTCCACATGTGAACGATTTGATGCGATTTTTAATATTTTGGGTTGTTCGCTTGGTAGCACAGCCGGGTAACACAACCGGTCCCGGTTGCGGCTCCCGCGGTGCGCTGACAGAACCGCCGCCATGATGGAGCGCTCGGGGCGCACCGCGGAGCCGTGGGTGCAGCGCGGCCTCCGACCAGTAGGGGGCGCGCTGCTCGGTGCCGCTTGGCCGCTAAGGGCCGATGGAGGGAGAAGAGCGAGGTGGTGCCACAGAACCTTCCAGAGCGGCGATGTTGAAGGCAGGTAGAGAAAAAAGCCTCCCCTGCTGTGTGCAGGTCACCAACCAGCAGCCCAGGCTGCCCAGAGCCACATCCAGCCTGGCCTTGAATGCCTGCAGGGATGGGGCATCCACAGCCTCCTTGGGCAGCCTGTTCCAATGCCTCATCACCCTCCGTGTGGAAAGCTTGGAGGCTGGGCGACTGAGGGAAATGAAGCCAAACTGTGAGCTTTGGTGATGGACGGCCAGCTGGAGGGCTGTGGGCTGGGAGGATTTGAGCTGAGAGTTTGTTCTTTTGTCAGCTTTGAGGCTGTTTGCACGTTCAGCAGCGCCCAGCACCCCTGGGGGCAGTGGGGCTGAATGTGCCAGCACTGAGCTTGGGGCTCTTTGCCCATTACATCCCTCCAGGATGAATGTCCTGTGTTTCAGGTTGGATTTTAGGAAAAACAAATCGTTGGGCGTTGGCACAGGCTGCTCAGGGAGCTGCTAGAAGCACCACGACTGGAGATGTTCAGGGAACGTAGAGGTACGGCACTGAGGGACGTGCTTAGTGGGCAGCGTTGTGGTAGGTGGGCATTTGAACTCAATGATCTTAGAGGTCTTTTTGGAACTTAACGATTCTGTGATTCTTTAGTTCTGTTTTATTATGTTGGCCCATGATGTCAGAGGTCGCTGTTGGTGGTATGGCTGTAGATGTTGAAGCTTTTTGGCACTATTGCTCTATGATTTATTGCTGCGCAACAGATTGGCAGCAGAGGGGCAGTCTGACAAAATGGTGTTTGACATGGAAGTGCCAATGAATCAGGGAATCGTAGGGACTGGGAGGGACTAAGTTGGGGTCAGCAAGTCCAGCCTTCTCCAGGCTGAGCAGCCCAGGATCTCACAGCCTTTCATCACGCAGGAGGTACTCCAAGCCCCTGATCATCTTCGTGGCCCACCATTAGATGCTCTAGAAGACCCCTGTCTTTTTTGAATTGAAGGAAAGCTGTGTAATTGAATTCTTCCCTGCGGAAAAGAATGCACCCATTGACATTCCTTGACACTGAACGTTTATGGAGACAAAAAGTGGATGTGAGCACAGAGAGATGGGTGGGAGGTGGGTTTCAGCAGTGGCAGCAGTCACCTCTGCTGGGACAGGTCTTTATGAGCATGGTATGCAGGCTGTTGTTCATCACTGGTGAAAATACAGATCTTGTGGTGGTGATTATGCTGAAAAATAGTGTTTTGTAGCTGGGCACTTGCTCTGTCAAATAGTGCTACTGTGCTCTTGGTTGTAATTTCTGTGGAAATAAATAGGAGGCGACTTGTGGACTTGATAAGGTTTTGTCTCTCCACACCTGTCCTTTGTTACAGCTGACTTTGATGTGACAAATTTGTCTCCCATTGTGCTGTGTTTCTTCACCATTTCCATCTGCAGAGGTGTCTTATGTCGAAGGCTGTTCTGGTGGAAGTTGGTTGTCCAGAGATAATTTTGTTTGGTTTGGTTTTGAGCACAACGTCTGTAGGCCTCGTTTGGTAACCTGCCCTTTAGGTATAAGGGACTGCTGTCAGAGTGAACGCAGACAGGCATTCATGGCAGAGGCAATAAGTGGAAATTTCTCGAACCCTAACTGGAGGCAGAGGGCTCGTGCTTTTGAAGGGCTGCCATTTTAGGGGAAAGAGATTTGTCTTCAATTTGTGCAGTCTGGAAGAATCAAAGAATCTGCCAGAGAGACCAGAACGCTCGGTTCCAGTTTCCAGTTGTTTCTGCCTTAGGTTTTCCTGCTGTGGGTGAGGGGGAGGGCCAGGGTTTTTTTTGTTTCCCACAAATGACAGTATCCTTTAAGTTGGATACATTGAAAAGAAGGCTGTTACCTTTAAAGTTCAACCAATCCTCCTTCAGGTTGTCTTTCTGAAGTGAAAGCTGTTCCATTTAGGGATGGCCGGGATTTCAGAAGCCCTTTCCTGATGTTGACAAACTCTGGACTTTTGGGAGAAGCCGAAAAGATTAAAATTATCACATCAGCTTCTTTTATTTTTTTTTCTTTAATGGGATGATTCTTAAACCACGAGTTGAGCTGCCTTTCAGTTCAGCTTACCCTTAATGTTCCCATGCTGGTGTGGTTTCTCTCAAAGCGATTTTGCTCTTCTGTGCAGTGAATGGAAGGAGCACAGGGCTTGGATGTGGGGTACCTGCATTCTGCAATTGATTTTACATGTTATCATTGATGGCTGCCATGTCATTCCTGTTCTATTTTAACTGTGAATGGTTTTGAAGAGATGTTAAAACCTCTAGCTTGAAAACTTAGCACAAAGAACTGCTGCTATGGGCACTTACAATAATTGTCTGCCATTTTAATGATTAGATGGTCCTGATGCAGTGGAGGATGTCTGCACTGGGTCTGCTGTTGGGAAATACAGATGCTGGTGAGTTATGCAATGTGAGCTGAGAGTTTGGTGTGTAACATCTGATTTTTTTTCTAATGCAGTCGTTTGAAGTTTGATGTCTTCCTGACAACTCTACTTGGCTCTTCATAGCAATTTTCATGCCTTGAAAATATGCAGGGGTTAGGTGGGGGATGCTGGATTTGTTCTTTGATAAGGGCCTGGGATTCCTTCAATAACAAGGACTCTTTTGTTACAGGCTGATCTTGTGCTACCTTGGTGTGGGAGTGGTGAGGTTTGAAATGGATGGTGTCACTAAATTAGTGACCACATCAGAACTTCTCCAATCTGCATTGCTTCCAGACTAATTAACCTATGTGTCGAGGCGAGGTCATTTGGTGATCCTGAGAAGCCAGTTAATATTATTCTTAGACCACAAGGAATTTCCACTTACTTGTAAAGCTGTCAGGCTGTTCCTCTTTGCCCCGTCAGTGAGACTGCAGCTTTGTTCTGTGTGTCCAGTGGCACTGCAGTAGTGTGTTGGGGCAGTGATGTTACAGACCATTAACAGCAATGTGCTGCTTGTGTGAGTTTCTGCAGGAGCAGCCTGGGTGTGGGACAGCTACAGAGAGCTTGGTCAGGTTAAAGAGCATAATGAAATTAAGGTTTACAGCAGGAAACATGTATTGTTAGCAGCCTAGCCACGTGCTCGCTCACCATCTCGTAGAGGCCCAGAGTGCCAGCAGGTGAATGGAACAACATGTTGATTCTTACAGTCCTAGATGAAGCAGTACCAGCTGCTCAGCAGAGCAGCAAAAGCATGGCAGGTTTGGTGTGTGCGTTTGGTTTTCTGATGATGTATCCAGGCATTGAGAAAGCCATCAAACACACATTGTGTTGCTCTGGAGATTGCTGGGAGCAGTCCTGAGCACAGCAGGAGTATAATGAAGACCTTTCAGAAAGCCGTGTTCTTGGGCAGTGTTTCCAGTGGGCTGTGTCACCTGACTGGAGCTGTGACGTGCGTGGTCTGGAGGTGACGCAGAATTTGTGTTTGCTGGGACTGGAGCCTTCAGGGTAGTCTGCTCAGGGCTCACTGCTGGCACACTGCTGGGCGCAGGAGGGGGGCCTGGGGGAGCTGTAGGCACCATCACTGGTCAGCCTGCAGGGATGGACAAAGCCTTTTGTACAGTGTGCTGTGTGAGCAGTTTGTGGGCTGCATGAAGGTCACAAGGAGTGCTGCATCTCTGGAAGCGGCGGGGCACAGAGGTGTGGGGGGTGCAGGCTGGGTGCCATCTGGCCTCGGAAGAACTGATAAATGTGGACACAATACCAAGTGAATGTTGCTGGCTGTAGGATTTATATTTTTGCTCCTGAGCACGAGGCCTGTTTCGAAGCATAAATAACTGCTATCTCTCCAGCGCGTGGACTCTGGCTCTGTGCTTGGCCCTGTGTCCCAGCCCCCGCTCCGCTCAGCAGGGTCAGGGAGAAGGGAGAAGGGGCGGTGTCTTTGGCTGACATGAGCCCGCTGGGGAGGGATGAGAGGAAGGGGGTCTTGGGGGCTGGGTTCAGAGCAAGGTTAGCCAAATATCGGATAAATTAAGCAAGAGAAACAGACAGCTCAGCTTGCAGTGAACTTTTCACCCAGCTAACCTGTTGCTCACCCTGCATTGCACAGGTGGAGTACAACTCAAGTAGAGCACAGCCCTGGCTTTCCCTGCCTTCTCTTTAGCTGTAGCGTGAGGCATGGCCAAGGAGAGAGCAGGAGCTGAAAGGAGTTTGATTTGTTGTTTTGAGCCCAGAAAAGATCTGATTGCTGTCTTAAGAGCAGTGAAGTTAATGCTAATATGGCCATAGGGTTAGTTAGTGTTTGTTCCGGTGTAGAACCTCTACCAGTAATTCCTGGTCATAGAGAAGAAATGGGGAAGAAATTCCATGCTGGAGAGGGCAGGGAGCAAACAGTGCCTGAACAGGAATGGTTAGAGAGTCTTTGTGGGAAGATGCAGGGCTGGTGGGAATTCAGTGAATTCTGATGTTTATATTTCTCTGACTTTTCATCTGCATTTGCAGTGCAAGTAAATACAAATGATTGCTGACAGATGTTGTAAAAACATAGCATTATGCTAACCATTAAGCTTAATTTTGTTCTCAGTTACTAACGCATGTGGCATAGTATGGCCCTTACTCACATCACCTCTATATAAATCATGGACTTTCCTCCAGGGGTACGGAATCCAGAGCAGAATTTATTCTGTTGGCCTTTTTTGAAATCTTCACTGCTTCTTCTCCCAAGAACTCTCCAAGCACATTGAAGTTGGTGGGGTGGCAGCTTTGTTGGAAAGTAACATCCAGTAGAGTGCTTAAACCCTCAAATGTAGTTCTCTGGCTTCGGGTCAGTGTTTTGAAATTGGAACTCCTGTTCTCTGATCTTCCTTTTCACTCACTGTAGGTGAGGAAGGCCTGAAACCCACTGAAGTGCCTATTGCACAGCGTTTCTGGGAGCTCAGCCCTTGATTTTTGTAAGCGTGCCTAAATTCCATAAAACAGAGGTCTTTGCAGAGGCTTTAAAGAGCCTTTTATTGGTAGTGAACTTTCAGATGGTAAATGCCAGGAGCTCTGTCTAAAATGGAAGGGACATTGTATAAACCTTGAGATAAGCACTGACTTTAGGGAGCTGTGAGCCTTCCTAGAGCTGTGAGTATTTTCTGCTCTGCTCAGTGCAGCAGGATGGCTTCCCTCCCCCATTTTGGATCTGAGAAGGAGGTCGAGTTTTTCTTGCTCTTCATGTGCGTTTGAGTTCATGTACAGCTCCTCAGGCACTGCCAGCTTTACATTAGGAGATTGGCTGCAAAGCAGTACTGACAGTGTCTCCCTTGTATCTCAAATTCCTGGATGTTGAGGAAGGACTGAAGCTCAGATGGCCATTACCACACAGACCAGATGTTTCCCAGACCAGATGCTGGTCATTCAGGCCAGCCCAGCGTTGCCATAGGATGGTAGGGAGCTGGTGACATGCCTTGGTGCTTCCAGAGCAATGCGGGTTCACTCAGAGAGAGGGCAGGAATGGCAGTGCTGTGGTGCAGCCCACTGTTACAGTTAGAGCTCACTAACTCCTCTCCTGCCAGGGATGTCATTCTGCTTTCTTAAAGTTCCAGTGTTTTTTCTGATAGGTGAGAAATGAATGTAGAACGGGTGCACGAGCTTGGTATTCCTATTGACAGAAAGGGGCTGTAGGTCTCTTCTGTAGATGGGGAAGAATAGGGGTGTGTTAGAAGAAGGGGTGGAGAAAAAGACTATGAACTGCAGCGTAGTTTCTGGGCTTGCCTGTTGCATCAGCCTGTTGCTGATGCCACTGGTTACTTTGCAGGTTTTCTCCTCATGCAGTTGTTTCAAAAGTAAAAGTAGCAGTCGAAATCTGCACAAGGCAGCACTGCTCTCTGCTGCCCCATCCCCTGCAATGACAGAAGCAGTTCTGTACATTTGGTGAACCCGGAGAATGGATTGTGTTTAAAGTCATGTTTTTGTTTGCTTGTTTGGGGCCCTTGGTTTGTTGTTCTGGTTTTGTTTTGTTCCCTCGGGATGGCTCTGGCTGACTAATTTTACAGCCTGTTGTTTTTCAAATGCAGATGTCACCACTGGAGAGAGAATGGGGCAAGGACAAGTTCAGCGGTCACCAGATAAGGAGGACCACTCTTTTTCCATCAGTTTGAAGAGATTTGGCAGAGCTTTAAGTAACACCATAATTTTCCTAAAGCTTGTTCAACCTGCCTGCTAACGTGTGTGTTCTCCACAAAAGTTTCTCCCTCTTAGACACGTTTGCAGCACTTCTCAGACAACTTTGTTCTTTCACCTTACGGCTCGAAACCCTTGTTTCAGGGCACGCTTGTTTCTTCTACTGTATTTTTACTGCCCCTTGAGTGACATCATTCAAGTGGTGAGTCTCTGAGAGATGATTCATACTGAAAAAGATCTAATAATTGTTACCAGTTATTCAAATCAGTGTTACTGATTTCCCGCATCCTCCCACTGGTCCCTTGAGCTCCCCCACCCACTCGTTTTTCCTAATAATTCCCAGGCTTTCTGGCTGTATGCTCAGTGTGCCCTCCTCGGTGTTACTGTGCTAAGGTGTAAGTATCTCTCCCTCCCCTGAGGAGCTCTTAGGGCTTGGCTGCAGCAGCTTGTGTAGGCAGATACGGGCTGAGCTGAACTGGCAAGGTAGAGGTGGATTGACAAGCGCTGGCCTCAGTAAAGCTTCCAACTGCTTTCACAGCACATCTTCTGTTTCACTGCTGTGTCGGCATTGTTGGCAGCCTCTGAGGTTCAAAGCTAGATGAGTAATGTGTCTGCAGGCTGTGGTGCTGGGGTGCACAGAACTCTGAGCTAGATTCTCCTGAGAAGTTCTGCAAGGTATTGGGGTAATTACCTGCTCTGAGCTAGCAAAGACTTGCACCAGTAGTGACCGTATCACGCTGCTGCTGTTTCAGTTTGTAGAGAAGAATGTTTGTTCTGTTTCACGAATACGGATGTATAACTCATGAAGCTTGTTTCTCCTGCACCTTGAATTGAGCTCTATGCTGTGCAGTGATTCACATCATCAGTGTAAAAAGCAAATTCTTGTTGGGAGCAGCCATATATTGTTCTTCATGAAGCTCCTCAGTGTGGCCCCATATTCCCATTACACCCTTCCTTCATATCCCTGCATCCTTGTCTTTGATCTTCCCTGCTTGAGTCCCTTCTGTGTGCATTTTATCATTTCTCTTGTGCATTCACCTTCTTAGTCATTCTTTTTGTTGGCAGGGGCACACTTGATTTTGCTTAGAGTTACATGGATCTTGAGTATCAGAGGTGGAAGGGGGCAAATCTGGATCAGTTCTGGATGCCCAGCACAAACACGCTGATGTTCATGTCTCTGCACGCTGTAAACCCAGCCCCAAAACAAGTCTGTGGCTCTTGTGGAGAGAACTGCTTTACGTGGCAGCATCCTTTTGTGTTGCATTGGATTCAGCATTGTGTTCAGGGCTGAAATGCCCTGTGTGCCGTGCGTTGGCCCAGCAGGATGAACTCACACAAAGAGAGTGTCAGAGCTGCCCTTCCTGGAAAAGTAAGTGATAGGAATTTATGGCTGTTGCATCTGCAGTAAAGCTGGCACCACAGCCCTACTTCGTCAGCAGTAGGACAGCGGAGGGGGAAAAAAGCATGGTATAACCTTTGGTATGTTATTTATTATCAGTTTGCAGCCCTCTGGAAAATGAACTTTAGAAAATTCTGTGCCGATGGTAACGATGAACACTGGGAAAACCCAGGAATCAGCAAATCCATTGTGTTGCGCTGACAGAAAGATACTGTTACAACACACTTTAGCTGCCAACTTGCTGCAGTCACTCAATCCATCATGGTGGGCTGTTGGATCACAAGGCAGTGAAACTCAGCCTGGCGTGTTATTTTAGTCTTACATGGACTGTGAGATAAACGGGGCATGAACCAGCCCCCTGGCAGGGGGTCGACCCCTAGCGCCCTCATTAAAGTGCCAATCAAAAAGAGTAATGGAACAGGGAATGGAAAGCTGGCTTCTTCAGCCTGTTACTGCGCACAGTCTGAGCAACTTGCACAAGCCAAGGGAAACATTTCTCTTCTGAAGAGGAGCCAGGCTTCCAGAAATACCTCCTCTCTCCTTTTCTCTTTGTGTGCAATGCTGGGACCCTCCTGTGCGTCCCGCCTGTGGTGGCAGCCTGTGGTGGCAGCCTGTTGCTTACTGCAGTGCAAGCAGTGGGAAGAAGTGTGGCCGAATGTAACCCGGAAAGGATGTAGATGCTTCTTCTGTGGAATACAGCAGTCAGTGATTGGTTACAGCATGGCTTCTCTTGCACATTGCTTGGATTTCAGCATTTGCGTATGAAAGATGGGCAGAAAAGGATAGGTGCAGAAGTCATGCTGGTGTGCACAGGAAGTCGTGTTTTTGTGGGTAATTTCAACTTTCTGCAGGAACCCACAGCAAACAGTGATACCAGGATTGCTGGGTGAACGCAGCACTGCTATGCTGCTTGTCCTTGGTGGTGAATATTTCAAAGAGCTGTATAACCTCTGCATTGCCAACGGATGCTCATCTTCCCATTCTGAGTGCATTCCAACAGTGGTGATGCCGTGGGAATTTGTGTACCATCTTGTGATGCCTTCTGGGCTTCTGGTGCATAAATCCACGTTCTGCAGATCGGCTTCGCTCCGGTGCGTGCTTGGCAGAGAGAACAAAAGGTAATGAGTGAAAAGAAGCAGCACCGTAATGCCTTAATAGGTATTACAAATTTGGTTAAAAGCTTCTGTTGCCTGGAAGATTGCAGGTGGCTGCAGGGTGATGCATGATCACAGGAAGGAGCCATCCAGCCATCCTTTGTTGCTGCCTGTTCTCATGCTGTGCTGCACTAATGGCTCTTCTAGGTGCTGTGAAGCTGCAATCAGACTGTGCTGTGGTAAAGAAGAGAAAGCAGCAGCTGTGTTCTGACGTTGGCCTTGTACTTCACTATGGGATCTTAGTCAAGGTACTAAACTGCTTTCAATTTTTCAGTTTATACGTCTGTAATTGGGCCAAATTCAGCTCTTTCTACTGTGAGTGCTGGGATGCTTTTGTGAAACGTCTGCGGTTTCTGTTCTGGTTACTCTGCAAACATTTTCAAAGCCCATGTGAGGTTCGGTGGTGCTTGTTGGAAGGGGGGGAGAAATCACTGATGTTCTCCCCGGTATTTTGGGTTGCTGTGTCAGGAGCCTGGCCCTACTGAAACATGGTTCTGTTCTCCTGCAAGTGCTGTGGAGTTTGTTGTTTGCTCTGCCCTCATCAAAGTCTGAGGCGAAATTTTTGCTGCACCATTACCCTGTACCTGGTGGTTTGCATTGCTGACTGCAGATTGCTTCAAGGCTGCTGGCAAACGACAGGCATTAGGAATGGTGAGCCAATCTTGAGGGTCAAAGCAAGTGCTGTTGCTATTTCCAGAGGGTTGATGGATGGTGGATTTGATAGATTTCTCTATTTGTTAAAATTTCTCCACAGCTGCAGTATCCAGGGGACTTTTCTTACTATTTTTTGATTTTGCTGGCATTTTTAGTGTGCAGAAACAATTGTTCTGTAGCTGCCATACACAGTCCTTGTCCTTTGGGTGACCCATCCATTTATCCAAAGTGTAAACGCACATGAAAGCTGTTTACTTCTCGCATGGCCTTTTAGTACTTTCGAGTCAGACCAGAATAGGCCGGAGGTGCAAGGTTGTTCTTATCCACAGAGAGAACTGCTTGTGCTGGGCATGTTGCTTGGGCAGCAGTGTGCCTGTTACAAGAAAGCCTCAGCACTCCCTTATGATAGCAGAGTCTGACTGCACTGAGACAACAGTGTGGCTGCACAGCAGGCCGTGAATAGAACTGATACAATGCAGTAGGCATTTACCTCTTATGTAACTGCAGTTAGCGCCAGGATTATTTTTACTTCTATACTTGAATATGCTGTAGTTCCACTGAGGGAAAATAGGAAAAAATATAATCTTTTTTTTTCACTATTTGTCAGTGGTTAATGAGTAATTTTCTTTTTTTTCCCTTTTTGGCAGGCCTCCTTTCATGAGTAACTGAGCTGTGTTACAGCCGTGCGAACCCAGGGGCAGTGTGAGGACCCAGCCTTGTGTGCACATCTGGTGCTGCTTTACTCACGTTCTCCCACTCAGAAAGTCTGATGATAAAGACCTTAGGAAAGGAGTACATCTCAGTGCTAGAGAAACCGGCCTGGATTCTGTTAATGAAACATTTTCTCTGCGAGGTAACTGCAATGTTAGCAAGGAGGTAGATTTGAACTGCTCTGATTCCTTGTTAAGGCTACCAGAGTATTGGGCCAACTACCAGCAGGCTGGAATAGATCTGAACCAATAATATTCATGGGGAATTGATGATGTTTTCATCCTAGCCCCATATTTGATAAAACAGCAGCATCATGTGTACTGACAAAGCAGTTACCACCAAGCATGGATTGGAGTGCAAAGCTCTGCTCCCTGTCTGTTTTTTCAGACAAGACGACTCGGTGATCCTTGTTTATAGCAACTATACTTTTAAGAATGGAAGTGTGGGGAGTAAGGCCATCACTTTGCAAGGTAAGTTTAAGAAATATATATATTACATAAATAAACACACACAAATATGTATATGGTGTCATTCTTTGTAGGAAGCAATGTTATTTAAGCAGTATTTGATTAACTCTGGCATTAATAAAAATGCCCTTTCTTTTGTTTTTATCTCTTTGCAACTGCCAGTAACGTGCAGTGTATGCCCAGACCCTGCTTTTCAGAGCCAGGTACCTGAATTAGCTGTGATTAGAAAATACAGGAATGTTCTTTAAGGAAGAGAAGCAGAGCAAGCAAGGTTTTCCCTCAGGGTGTCATCATCTGGTGCTTCATGCCCTGTACGAATCAGGTCAGTGCGCAGTTGTTACAGCGAAGACAAAAGGATTTATGATTTTTTTTTTTTTCTAGACACATTTTTATGGAGTTGATCCAAGATCCCGGGGATCAAGTCTTCAGTTGGTGAGAGAATAGCTGAGTGGTGGAAAACACCACCTCTGGGAAATGGGAGAGCATACACTGAACTCCTTGTGATTATTGTGATTATTTTTCTGTTGTGAGATGTGGAACTTCCAGCCACTTACTTTCTCTCCACAAAAACATAAGCACTGCACTTTTTGATTAAACAGCATTCACAACTTAAGCTGTTCAGCTATCATCAAGTTGATTTATTGGAAAAGAATTCAAGAGCAGAAAGAAGGATATTGTCCACATCTTGCATGTTGTTTAGCTTATTTCAGGCATATCTCATTGTGTATTTCCTGGTTTATTGCCTGTAATTTATTTAAAGATGGCTAAGTTGGAGCAGGTAACAGAATTGTTTATGGTCCAGTAGTGACTGTTGTGAAAACTGTTTCAGCCTGATGTTACCCTGGTACGTGCAGACCCTCACTCCTACTTGGAATTGAGTGCCTAAGGGTTGTTAAAGTCTTTCTTCTAATCTGTCCCCTGCCTTTCTCTTCCAGAGGCAGCACGGGAGACAGATACTTGATCTCCCCTCACCTGTGATGTGCTGCAGCCTGCTACCTGGCAAGGAATGTCTACAGGAATAAAACTTACAGAATTATGTTATGGGTAGGGTATGTGATGCTACTTTTTTCTTTTCTTTTTTTCTCTCCACTTTTAGCATTCATGGTATGCATCTGTTTTCTGTATGTTTATGCTGCTGCAGATCCAGACTGTTTACCAGATTTCTCCTGTTAGCAATACTGCTTCCTCAGGAAAAAAAGAAGTCTTAGTGGCCTTGTCACTGCTCCTGTTAGTAACACATCAGTGATTCAGAGTAGTAATTCTCAGTGGTTCGATTGCTTTGTCAGGTCTGAGGCAGTGAAACAGACCTTTGCAGCCACAGCTTTTGATACAGATTGGGACAGAAAGGAGCTCTGTAATTCTGTGTGTCCAGAATTGCTTCTAGAAAAAAAAAAAAATGAGGTGGTCAGCTGTGGTCTTTGACATAGTTGAAACATGAAAAGTTTGGTCACAAGCCTGGTTCATTTTAGTGATGGTGGACCACATAGTTCTGCAGAAATGTTAGAAACATTAGGGTGCCTTTTTCACACATCACATTAGCTCAATCACTAATTAGCTTAATAGGTAATGTGCCATTCTTTGTGGTGTGCTGTTTGGACTGACTTAACTCTATAGCTGAGGTGATGTACTGCGAGGCACTGCTGTAGCACAGAAGCTGTGTTATTCTCTCTCATCAGCCATTTTTTCTCCCACAGCTTCTGAAATTTCAAGACAATCTACTTTCATGGCTGCAATTCCTATCTCCTCAAATAAAGCCAGGCTGAATGACATTTAACTGCCTTCATAAAGCTCAGAACTTCGCGTGATTTGGTAAGTGGAATTATTACATTGTCTTGTCTCAGTTTGTGTATAGTTTTTGTGAAAGCTAAAGGCTCATACTTTCTCTGCACCTCCTCCTCTACAAACTATTTCTGAGTGTGGCCCTTTGGAATCTGAAAGTTGTACTTATTCACTTAGTAATAACGGTAATAGTGCCAATAACAATAGGAAGTCCACAGGAGTTCTGAGATGATCCAAAAATAGTTGGGTTACAGCAACAAGGAACATCATTTGAGCTTAAAAAAAACCAAAAAGCAATCAACAACAAAAAACAACAAAGTTCTAGTTCAGTTTGTTCTGGAATGTTACAAGAGGCAGTGTGCTTCCTGCAAGTGTAACTAACATTATTTCTAGTAATCAGTGCTTTGTCTGTAAGAGAAAACCTGTTTGAGAGACTCTGTACGAATGAAAAAAAGGTCAGTGGGCTGACTGTAGCTGAGAGGAGCAAAGTGTCAGTGCTGGAACAGTATGGTAACATGACTTGAGTAGCCTAAGCCAGCTGCAGTCCATGGCCCTCTTGTACATCTGAGACAGTGGGTACATTTCTTGAAGCTTTAAGTAATTGTTATCACGAGCCAAAAAAAACCCCAACAGGTTGAGCACCTTCCGAAGGAAAACACAAATCAAATCCATTGTAGCCTGTAGTTCTCTGAGTTCAGGTCACTGAGTTGAGGTGCACTGCCATACTTCTCAGGTGTTTGCACTCCCACTCCTTACACAGACGCTGCACAACAAACTATGCAAGCCATTCTGCTGGGAGCTGGCTTTTATTCACCCTACCCCCTTTTACCTGCTTTAGCAACCAGGCTTTGCAGCATTGGAAGAAAACAGTTTTGCAGGGGAGAGGAGCAGGGATTAGCAAGAATCCAATAGGACTGACTGGTTAAAGCACTGCTGAGCCAATGCACTTGTTGAATTCTACATTTTACTTAAAAATTATACAGAGAAACATACAAAAGTGGTGCATTAAATCAGTTTCATTTGCATAACGGGCCTTTTGTATTTCTAGTGACAGACCATCCACACATCCACTGATACGACATCTGTCCTCACACAGCAGTCCTCTGCCTTTCACATTACAGGAGTTAAAAACAGTTTTACTTATAACTATCTTCAAGCTATTCCGTCTTAGATAGACAGACAGACTCATTACTCCCTCTGGAAAAGGTTCCAGGGGACTACCTAGTTTCCTGGGAATAAAGGTAGTTGATGAGACAAACACTCGTGTGACATGCAGCATTTGAAAAAGCAGGGGATTTTTTATTATTATTAATTTCAAAAAGTTTAATTTAGAAGATGATATCCTTAAGACAAATGATGCAGTGATGTCTCCCCACCCTGACTTCCCAGTGCTAGCAGAGTTCAGCACTGAGCAGCCAACTACAAACACGTGGAGGGAAGGATTTCAGTTTCCAAGGCTGCTCGCTTGAACTGTTTTCAAACAACACGAAAGCAGGGGCCTTCAGAGGTACAGACTTTGCTAGGTTTTTTGAGTTCTGGATTCAGAACAGATTCAGCCTTTTGTTATCTAGTATTTTGGAAATGTAATTAAGCCAGTGAGTCATCTCTGCAGTATTTTACAGAATGCAATTATTTTGTTAAAAGCAATGACCTTTCAGTGCAATATGAGGTACAGGTTAGCTGTACTCACAGTAAGAAAAAAAAACCAACAGAAAACAGTGCACCCTAATCACAGTGTTAAAGCTAAGAACTACAGAACTTCTGTGCTCCAACAGCTGCAGTGAACTTTTTTTTAACAAACACTCCTTACGTACATTCCTGAACTGTGAAAAGCAGAGGGAAGGAACAGGTAGCTTCAGGTGCTGCAGTAAGACTCAGCATCGCTCCTTTAATTTCTTTACACTGTAAACAGACTTGTGTTCATACCGACACCCTGGTCTGGACTTTCTTATTTACAAGAAACACTTTTACATATATACATGTTAGCAAAATACAAGGCATTTCCCAGAACTGAATGCATTTGAGCTGCATCTTTGTTAGACAACTAATGCTTTAAAAACAAAACCAAAAAAAGCCCACTCACAATGATTCCATACAGTTAAATACTAAAATCATATTTATTTCCTTCCCATATAGTATTTTCTCTAATTACAGAATACCATCAGCTCCAGACTGATTCCTGCAGTTCACTCTGGCAGTAAGGAAGATGTTTCAAGAGTCCAGCTCTAATTGTTCTTGATTTTCACTGAGTCTTAACATAAGCTGTTGTTCATAATAAAGGCTCTTTGCATAGTTTATTTCTTGACATAGCTTCACTGCAAGAACTTCAGATTTCACATTGACCTGCAGAAATAAATGCAGATGTTGTTAAAGAGGCACCATTATATTTTTATTTCACTGACTGAAGGAATTTGCATGGCTGTGCTTGAAGGTATAGAAGTGCTTCAGTGGAAATCTTCTCAGGGCTGAGGATGAGGGATGGAAGAAATGAGAGAGACAGGTAACAAGAGTTTCGGTGATAGTGGGTGGGAACAGAAACATCTTGCAATATCTGAAGTTATTTCCTTTGCTTCCTCTCCTACCTTTCATCTGGCTGCTCTGTTTGGAATGTAAACTGACTTAGGTCAGGGGTGAGCTTGTAACCTTGTCTGTAAAACAGACCTGGAACAACTACTGTAATGAAGCAAAAACCCACGACATTGAGAGGTGAGATACTGAGTAATTTTTGCATGTGTGACATCAACAATCGATTTCCAATCTTTGGAAGATGCCATGTATGCAGGGAGAGCACTACAGTAAATAGCACAGTGCTTAACTGCATGTATTGTGTAATTAAGATTATTTCTCAGCTGAAGAAATCTTTCCTAATGTACCCTGTGCATTCAGGAGTATTTCAGATTTTACCTTCAACTTTTCTCAGGAGCTCATGGAACAAGTTCTACTCAGCGCAACCTTTTTGGCAGCAGTTATTTTCACTGCTGGCAGAATGAAGTTTTCATTACTGAACAGTGCAAGAAAGCAAACACTGATGAGTAGAAATACTTTTGGCATCAGTACATGCATGGAGGGGGAAAGAAACCCAGCGTGGAAGACCCAACAGGCGCCAGTCCTTACCATTGGTTTTTGTTGTGATGGGCCTGGCATTGCTACACCACTGCTTGTATTAACAGCTTTCTTGGTCAGCTGCACGTACACTTTCCCATGATCTTTTGAAACAAGGCAGTGGTAGAGGTCATCATACTTCACTTCTAGGAAGATGGCTTCGCGGTCGGTGTAGTCACCACTCTTGAGGAAATAAACAGCTTTAGATGAGATCAGAACACAGTACTTCTCTATGTTCTCCACTGCTATGAAGCTGCGAAAGAGAAAAACCAAAATGAAAAGAAGGAAATGAATCACTTGATAAAAATACTCAGCTGTAACAAAGGTCTCAACCTTGTACATTTTCAATGACCTTTGGAAGTCTTAAAGAAAACCAATAGCATAACGTACAATTCATTTGCATTTAAAGTGTTCTAGAAATCCAGCTGGTGTGCACCCCTCAGCTCAAAAGACCAGGTTGTAAACCAAGTATGAGCACTAAATGCCTGGCTTCTAGCTTTGATGTTAAAAGGCTGTATAAAAATAGTCTCTAACAAGACTTAGGAAGATTAACTTCCTTGCATTTAAACGCTGAGTGACTGACTTACACTCAAGTTTAATTGTAACTTCAGTCGTTACTGATAGGTGAAAAAGTTTGCAGGTAATGATAAAAGCCTTTTTTTTTTTAACACATAAACCTACTGTGCCTCCTTCTGCCACACACCTCCCCCGCCTTTAAAAACAAAAAACAAGTTTAACCTGCTGCCTGAATCAGTAGCTAGAAAAGAGAAATTAGCTGTTTAACTCTGGGGTGAAAGGTTAAGCAGCAAGCAGGTTTCCCCAGAGAGATTAGTCCAAGTGATGAATAGGGGAGGTAGAAAAGAGTGAATTAAGAAGATGGAGAATTACGATGGCTGAAAAGGTTGATGTGTAAAAGTTAGTAGGAAGGCATGCAAAAGTGAAATAGATAATGCACACACAACCACTCCTCATTTGTGATTTACTACTGAAATGAACTCCATTTGTGACTTTCCTTTTTCTAAGAGAAAAAAGCTGAAATTTTCAGAAAATTATATTTGGAGACACAAGAAAGAAAGAATGCTGAGTTTTGTATGAAAGTACAAACTAAACTGTCAAACCAGGATTCTCCTGCTTTCAGGTGGGTTCGAATTCACTATTTTTTGAGCTGCTGTTTGTACATATCTGGCTGTTGTTGCCCTGATACGTTCAGCAAAATACTCCACTGTATTTGAAAACACTGAAGATTTTCAGTCCTAAGAGCCTTTGTTTGAAAAGTTCACCATCTCCACTGACCAGTTCCAAACCTACTGTCTGCTTTTCTACTTAGGTAACACTTTGTACAAATACTGTGAGCTGCATCCCATAACCTTCAGCTACCAGTGGAATGCCAGCAACCAAAAATATTCTAAGCTCAGATAATGATGGTTTGTTTTGCAATATAAAAGAAAATTCTAGCAATTAATTTCTATTAATACTTGTCTGCAAGATGCTGCTCAGTGCTGAACTTGTCTTTTCTCTGCCCTATGCCTCCCAGTCATACCAGCTAGCGCTTTGGTTTCCATAAAGGTGAAAAAAGGCATACGTGCTCATTCAAGTTGTTCAGTTTTCATTTTAAGTGGCGAGAAGAGGCATTCTTAACCTGCTGGGCAGCCTGCAGAACAGTCTTGTTTCTGACAACAGGCAAATAAAAGTCCAGTGTTTCACAGAGATCCACGTTTGACTTGGGCAATACTTCCACTGGAAGAGCAACCAGAGTGAAGCTGCTGCACACTGCTTTTGTTTCTTTTCCAGCAGGGAGAGAAAATTAAAAAAAAGTGATCATCAGAAATCTCAAATATATTCTACTACCATTCTTTGCAACTGTCGAGGTAGAGCTGAGAGACTTCAGAAGATATTGTGCACCCACAAAAGCAGTACAGTTGGTTTTTTCCCCACATATATGGGATTCCAGCCTTCTGTATGGAGACAGCCACAGAGAGAACCCGACCAGCAAAAGCTGCTGTGAAGTTCAGTGGGAACAGCTGGGAAACCAGACTACAGGGCTGTATTTTTCTCCCCAGCAGAAGATTGTATCTCTGATTTTTCATGGCGTCACGCGTGCGCTCTGAGGACTGGGAACGGGACGCACTTTATGGCGAAGCACTGAAACATCAGCTTGTTTGTAGTTCAAGCTCTACATTTTGTTCTAACTTTGAGTCATGCATCATTACCCATTTTCTCTTGCCAACTGTTATTTTCTTCTCCATGCCTGGTTCTCAAAATGGGTATTTAACCTTTTAAGATACGACTACAAGATACTAAAGTCATTGATTTATACGTTTTAAAAAACCCAACAAACTTTCATCAACACTATTTTAAAAATTTCAAATTAATAAAATGGACGATTAAATGAAACACGATCCAGTAGAACAAAGCAGAAGCAACCAGACCTCTGGAGAATTTGTGGGTTTTTAACAACATCAGGAAGTAATTACACAATATTTTCCAGAAGTGAAACAGTGAGTCTAACTGGAAAAAAATGTGGAAACATTTAGTTAGAACAG